CAGGGCAAGGGTTCCACGTCAGGTCACGGCAAGATGGTGGACGCGCCTGTGGTGAAGAGAGCCTACGCGCTCCTCAAGACCTTGCCCCAGCCCTAGCACGCGATCATCTTTCTGGTACGACGTCATTAGAGTCCTATAAGCGGCGTTGTACTTGTACCCCCCTACAAATCCTGCGGTGGCCGATACCGCGAGCCGTTTACCTACGGGTCTTCTTCTCCTGACTCCTCCTGGGTTTGCCTCTCTTCCTCTTGACGGGCGCTTCCTCGGATTCTTCTTGGTCGCCGATGCTGCTGCCGTTGGTGTCGGTGTCGGTGTTGCGGTTTTCATCATTATCGCCGCCTTTTTCTTCGTCGCTGCCGTCTCCGACCTGCATCTCCACGCGCCATTCGTCCTCTTCGTTCGCTCCTTTCACTTCCATCTGGCTGCCTCCTCCGTCGCGCTCGGTGTGCTTCACGATCGTCCCTCTTTCTCGCCTCCTCTTCTGTCCGTTGGCCTTTGCGGTCCTTCTCTCAACGTCGTCGCCCACGATCGCATCTGACGGTGAAGTAGAGGGAACGATCGGCGTCGACGAGCTCGTCGCGCTCTTCGCGGCCTCGCTGCCGCCCGGTTGAACGCCGACAATGTAGTCGACGTAGGGGAAGGAAGCAGGGAAAGCAGATGACACGGGGAGAGTGGGCAGCGGGGGCGGAGGGAAGAAGACGGTGGCGCTCGACGAGGACGACGAAGACGATGGCATGCCGTCACCGCCGGCATCGGTGAAGGTGGGCAGCGGCGGCGGGAGAGAGGTGAAGGAGAGCGAGGAGGCAAGCGAAGGTGGTGGCGCGCAGGGGATAGTGAAGGAGAGCGAACCGCCCAGGCTGCTCGAGAAGCTCGGCGATGGCGAGGGGGAGAGGAGGCCGGAGGAAGAGGAGCAAGTGAGAGCCTCGAGGGACTTGATGAATTCCTGGGACGACAGCGTAGGCACGGGATAGGTGAAGGTGACGGGAACTGGCGACTGGGCGGGAGATAGCGAGCGGCGAAGGAGGATTGGAGAGGTCGATGCAGAAGTGCCAGACGAAGGTGTGAGCTCTCCTTCGTTGACATCGCTTCGAAGTGAGTGCGTCGTCAGGGAGAGGAGGCAGGCGGATAGGAGGGATGACGTGAGCGCGGTAGGGCAAGGTCGGGCAGAGGTGGAGAGGCGGCCGAGGAACCACAGCGCGGTAGGGCTCGGATGGCGTCGTGTTGCTCGCTCAACTCTCTGGCGAGGTTGGCTATAGTCTCGAGCAGCTTGTGCAACCTCTCTGCCAGACCTATGTTGGACTCGATTCCACGCCCATTGTTCGCCTCCCTCCGCCTCTTCCTCGTCAGCATTCTTTCGCCTTCGGTCTCGGTGCGCTCAGTCGTTGGCGTATACGGCAGGCCTGCCGCTGCTCCCTGCCGTTCCTCCTTGGATCGTCGTACTTCCCGGTCGAGCTGTTCGCGCAGGCTCTCGATCTCGGCCAGCTTGGCCTTCACCTTACCCATGCTCGCGCCCAAGGCCGTCTCCATCGACTTGCTGGCCCTTCGTCGGCGGCTTTCCGAAGCACTGTCCTTCGCTCGCCCTCGAAGCAGTTTCCTCTTTTCCTTCGCCTCCTCGAGCTTGCGCTGCAGCTCCTCGCGGGCGTTCTCCAGCATCGTCCACTTCGCGGCCGACCTGGCAGCTCGGTCAGGGCCCTGGTGTAGCGAGGGAGTCGACTTAGCAACATCATGCTCCAGGCCAAGGTGTAGGGTAATCAGAATGTACCGAGCTCGGCTTGGTTGTGTCTGGGCTCTCGCTTCCGTTGATTGCGAGTAGCGTGTTGAGGGCGGTCTCGCAAATGCTCTCATCTTCCGTACGGCCACGCTTGCGCTCTCGCTGCGTGACGTGTACGCCCATGCCCATGCCCAGCAGGTAGCTCACGTCTTCCTCGAGCCCCTGCATGCGAGCATCGTCGAAGGTGGCATCAGCGGGCCGAGGCGACTTGTGAGTTGCTCGGTTCTTCCCTCGTCCCTTGCGCCCGAGGTCGTCTTCTCCGCTGAGGCCGAGGAGCTGGTGAAACACAACGTGACGTCAGCGCAATGAGCCGTTGAGGAAGGGGAGAAAAAGTGCGCACCAGCGCTCCCTCTGGTTCACGTTCCCCATCTACCGCAAGTACAAAACTGGATGTTAGCGATTTCACGAAATCTTGAATCGAGAAAGCGTAGAAGAATGAAAGCCGAAAATGATGTCAAAGAGAATGAAGGCAGACTGCGTACATTCAACTCGTTCCTTCTCCTCGTCGAGGATCTTCTTCGCTCGGTTGTAGCCAACACTGAACTCCTGTCGCAGATGATTTACGGAACAGGAGCCCTTTTCCTCGAAGCATCGACGAATGTAGCCGCGCAGCTTCTCGTCGGAGGCGTACCGCACCTCATCCGTCTTGAGGCCCATCTCCTGATCGTGAAGGCGTTTGGCACGGATCCAACCGATCGCGAACGTCTTGCGCACATTCTCGGTTGAGACGCCGCCGAATTTCTTGATATGGTGTTGAATGTAAGTTCGAATGGCTTCGTCGTCGTTGCCCGTCGCGTCACCGAGGGCTTCTCCGTTCTGTTCTTCATCTACCTCCTTCACCCGCCTTTCTTGCGATTCCTCAATCAACCTGCCGTTCTCATTCTTGGTGCAAGCCAAGAGATTTGTTTGATCTTTTTCCACACGCAGCCCATCCATCTCTGTTGCTTGCGTCTTCTATCTTCTTCCCTCTTCTATCTTCCCTCCCCTATCTCCTGAAAAGAAAGAGAGAGCGTTAGCCAAAAAGCCTTGACAAAAGGCATAGGGATCTTCTAAAGGCGTACACGTCGATCTTCGGAGGTTTGAAGATTTGCTTCGAAGACTCCTCGCGATCTTCGTCCCTCCCCTGCTCTTGTCTTCCTCTACGCTCTTCGCCTCTCTGTGCAGCTTCTTTTCGCCCATTGCCCGATCATTCCAGGAATGCGCAGGGACGAACCTCGAGCATTCTTCAAGAGCTCGTGTCCACCTTCTTGGCCATCGCCTTCCAAAACCGAACAAGGCCACGAGCAGGCACAGCCTTTTTTGTTCTTCGCAGGAATTTGCGCAATGTCAGGTTTTGGCGGGAAAGATCGTTTTAAGCTTGCGCAGACGAAAGGAACGAACGGACGGGAGTGAACAAAGGCTACAGAGGCTCCTAAGGTCAACGAGTTCTGGTTCCCTTGTTGGATTCAAAGATGTCCCGCATAACGGCCGCGAGGCGCAGCAAATCGTTCGCGCCAGCGCATTTCAATGCCTTCATCAAGAAGGAGCGTCCATCGTGGACTGCCCAGTACGCCCTCCCAACGCAAGATGAGGAGAACCACAGCGTCGACGACACGAACAAGGTATACCTTTTCTCCTCCCCGCCTTCATCAGCTTATTCTCACAAATTGTAGCACCGCAAGATGGGTAATCGCGCCACCGATTTGGCTCGGCTTCGCGATGAGTCGACCAACCTCCAGGCCCGCATTGAGCGTTTCAAAGGTTCTTCCTTCTTTCTCCCTTTCTTTTCTCTTGCTCTTCTATCTTCTCACTTTGCGTGTGTCGTGTTGCGTAGTGGTGGCGCACGAGGCGGCAGCCAAGGCACAGATGATCAACTCGGGCGCGCTGACGCTTCGGGCGCGTCACGCACCTTCGATCTCCGCCATCACGCGCCCGCCTCCTCGACACCGCGCCTGCTGGCCCTCGTCCGTCTCGTACCGCTGCACCTCGACATCCGCCCAACGCGCTCGTCGCCAGCTCTCGCCCGTGGTCGCCCCTCCTGCGCCTCCCACGCCCTCACCCCACCCTGCGTCCCTCACAAAGACGGTATGTGCATTTGCCGTGATGTGTGATGTGTCGTGTGACTGATGGCTGGTCCCCGGGACTACAGGAAAGCAAGCACACACTTAGCTTGGGCGACTTCTTGGCGACCATCCCGGGCGAGCATCGAGCCAACACGCTCCGGAAGAGGAAGGCCGCCCCGCCCGCCTCGCCCCCTGGTGCGCACACCTGCTCCACACCCCCTTCCTCTCTCTCTCTCGTCTCATCGCTCAGATCGACCCGCCTTGTTACCAGCCCGCGGGGAGGAGGAGGAAAGCGTGGCCAAGGAGGAGGCGGAGGCCATCTTGAGCTCGCCCGTGCTCAAGCGCAGGCTGCAGGACGCGCTTCTGGCGCAGATCGAGGCCGACAGGGAAACGACCTCGGTCACCATCTCCATCACGATCAGCTCCACCAGCGCAGCCGGGGAGACAGACTCCTCGCGTCCCGAAGAGACAGCGAGCGAGGCCAACGAAGAAGAAGGCGAAGAAGAAGAAGTGGTGGTGGCCGCAGTGGAGGAAGTGGTAGTTTTGGAGAGGAACACGAGGGCACACAAGAGCGTCGACAAGCACGTCGATGAGGGCATGCTGAAGCGCAAGGACATCGTGGTGCGCAAGAAGAAGAAGGCCGACTTACGCGACGAAGAAGAGGAGGATGATGAAGATGAAGATGAAGCGAAGCGGAAGGGAAAGAAACGGAAGACCGCCTCCTCGTTCCTCGCTTCGATCATCCACCCGAAGAAGAAGATGAAGAAGAGCAAGCGGGCCAGGAAGGAGAGGGAGTGCGTCGCCGACGAAGCGAAGGCAAACGAGAAGAAGGTCAACATGGCGGCGGCGATCATCGAGCAGGAGAAGCACGACCAGCGGGTGGCCTACATCAAACGGAAGATCGAGGAGCGCTACGGCGTCGTGCGACGCGAGGCCAAGCGGAGCGGAAAGCGCGTGCGCATCCAGGAGCCCAATGCTGCCGTCGTCGCCGTCCCGCAACCGCCATCGTCGGAGGGCAAGCAGACAGGGGAGGCCAGGGAAAAGGTGGTCTGCAACGAGACGACGTCGGCAGTGGAGGGCGGCGGGAGGCGACGAAGGGCGGTGACGGTGGAGGAGGTGACGAGCGAGATGGCCAGCGCGATTGCTGGTGCCCGGCAGCCGCTGATCAAGCAGCGCGGCGTGATCCTCCTCGACAAGGAGAATCTCGGCAACGTGGCTGACGTCGGCGAGACGAAGAAGGAAATGGTGACGAAGAACAACAAGACCAAGACCGACACCGACACCGACGACACCAAGAAGCGAAAGACGAAGAAGGCCACACGCAACATCTCTTCGTCGTCCGCTTCGCTGACGTCGTCGTCGGCTTCTGCTTCCTCTTCGGGTTCCGCCATTCTCGTATCGTCAGCGGGCGGTCGTGGAGTCGACGTGCCACGCCGTCCCCTCCAGCCCCGCAACTGATCCGCACTCCTCTACCTCCCATCCATCCATCAACATCAACTATCATCATTCTTCATCTACATGTATTATTCATACGATCGGTTAAGCTTGGCCTCTGGCGAGTTAGACTTACCAGCCAGGCCACACATGGAAGAACAAACATTTGTTTTACCATCATGTCGCTGACCTGAGAAGGCCCGGTCAAGAGAGGGTACAGCTCTTCTTGTCGCTTTTGTTGTTATGGTGCGAAGCGGCGGCGTTGGGCAGGACGAGGGCTGGGGTGGAGGGCGGGATGATGAACGCGGACATGTCGTCCAGCTCGGCCTCGCGCATCTCCTTCGCCTCCATCTTGGCTCGTGCCCGATTGCGTGCCTCCTCGAAAAGTCGGCCGACGATCGACTCCACCGCGTCGTCGTTCGAATTACGTTCCTCCCCTTCATCAGCTTCGAAGACGGCGAGGAGCGCGGTCTCATCAAGCTCGGGCGGCCCCTGCTTCTTCTTCGCACCGGCGGCATCGGCCGACGACAAGACAAAGTGGTCCCACACGCCGTCCGTAAGGCACACGATGTGGTCGTCGGCCTCGAGCTCGCGCACGCAGAGGCTGTGGGGAAGCAGTGACTCGCCCTGCTTACGCGACGACACCGAGTGCGTGGCCCCAATGCCGTAGTCTGCACAGACACATCTCTATGTTCAGTGGGGGAAACGGAATGTGTGGAATGTGGGTGATTTGTGCGCACCAGAGTTGAGCGGTGGATTGATGAGGGCCAGCGTGCCCCGCTTCGGGTTGGCGATGAAGATGACGTTGTCGCCCCAGTGGAAGGTGAGTGCGTATGCCTTCATTCTGGCCTCAACCTTAATCGCCACACTCAGCGTGCAGCTGATATGATGTATCCTGTGTAACAGCCGCACACGCACACATCGCACACATCGCGCACCACATTCGCGAAAGTGTGAAGTGAGGTCGAGGCCCACGTCACAAGAGCTCTCGTGACAACGACCTGCACGCGCACCTTGAATCGTCTGAAGCTTCCAGCGCCTTCAAAAGAGCCAACACCTTGTCGGCGAGTTGCTGGGGCAGTTGAACGTCGTCCAGGCACTCACGGATGCAGGCTTCCACCTCCTTCAATATAGCCCTCCCGTTCTCCTGTGATATGTTGTGTGTCGTGTCGTGTCGTGCGGCGAGTTTCCACAGTTTCGTAAGGGGTAAGGAGCTGTACGCTGTGCTTGGCGGCATCGCTGCCTTTGTCGTGTCCGGTGCCATCGATGGCCAGCGCGAGCGGCAACTGCTCCGAGGCGCCGCTGAAGTCGCAGTTGGAGTCCGCCTCGTATGGAATGTATGCGCGGCTGCGGCCCGTCACCACCCCCGCGCCGGTGGTGGCGATGGTCTCGTCGCAGGCAGAGGCCGATGGCACGAGCTCGCACGGTGCCAGGCCGCCCCGTCTCTTCATTTCGGCGACCCGCTCATCTAACGTGAACATGATTTTTCAATTAATGCATTAATCCTACTATGTTCCCTCACGTACCGCTTTGGGCAGGCGACATGCGTGTGGGCGGGGGGAAGGTGGTCTTGAACGGTAGCTCGTTAATGAGCACTTCGGCAAGCTGCTCGTGCTCCCCCTCCATCTTCAATCAATTATTTTAATCTAATAACGTGCTTTCATGAAAGCACTACAAGTTTGGTCTGGGGCCTTGTGGGTGGGTTGTCGGTGTTGTGCTGGCGACCAGACGAAAGAGCGAGGCCATTGACTAGTTGCTGGCCCAGGAAGTGATCTTACTGCAGCTGGGGCACTTGGTGCCGATGCGACCCTGGGGCGTCGAGTGGCACAAATGGCAGACCGAAAAGGTGCAGCCAGACTTCTTGCACTCGACCTGCATCGACGATCATGTTGGTGGCAACTACTGTGAGCCAAGATCATTCTTCAAGCAAAGAAGAGAGCCGAGAAGAAGAAATCGGAGAAGAAGAGCCGAGATAGCATTGGTGTGCACCTCGTGAGACTTGACCATCGATCCGCCGCAGCCTTCGCACTTGCCCATGTTGGTTGGTAGGTGGTGGTAAAGTAGGGGTAAGTAGTAGTAGTTTGTGATGTGTAAGGTTGGTGAAGAATCAAGAAGAAGACCA